TGCTTCGACTATCAAGGCACCCCGAAATAGCAGGTCACAAGAGAGTGACAAACATACAAAAGAAGTAGAGGGAAATGACAATAGTAAGGATCAGGAAAATAAAAGCAGCAGTTCCCTGTTGTAGATCAGGCACAGTTATGAGCGTGACATGAGTCAGCCCATTAACAATTCTACTATGCTTGAACGAGAAATGTCCCCCCTTGGGGAATGGCCTAAAGACACTACAGTCAGTGGCACTGCCCCGGGGGGGACAAAGATCTTTACCCCAACCAGAGTGCACAAAGCAAGCAGAGAAGTCTCAGCCCATAGAGGTAGGGCAACAAACACACCAACAATATCATCACTTAGAAGCGGGCCCCATGGGATTTTTCGCAATACTTTTAATTAAATGCTGGGGATGAAGACGACAAACTCTTTCCAATTTCCTGGTCTCTCTAAGCCTGGCGGGGATCTAGGGTAAGTGCCAAACAAACAAAAGAAATACACTCAACACTTAGATAAACATTTATGCACATCATTTACAAATTAGAGCACCATCATCACCATCATCATCATCATCATCATCACCGACTAAACAGTTCCCCTTTTTCTTATGTTTTTTTCGTTTCTTTTTTTCTTGAAACATAACAATTTGCACCACATCAATACATTTTTACGTAACCCACAAATATCGGCACCAAAATCAGGACACGGGACCAAAAAAATTACAACAAAAAAAACGAAACAAAAACCCCAAACAAGTCCCACTCACCTGTCTTGCTGTTCATCTCGGTGAAATCAAAGACCGCAGTACCGGTCGTTTCGCTGCCTGTGCCTGCCGTGGTCGCAACTGGAACACAAAACACAGAAATGTGTACATGTTTTTTTATGTTTTGATTTTTTTTTCTGATAAGTGTTCTACCACGCTCACAACTGCATAAGGTCATAATATGATGAGCCAGTGGGACACATTAAGCATTTCCAGTTTAGTAGGAATTAATTTTTGAAAGTCGAGATGATACCAGACGACAGAACATGGTTGGAGAGCAGGACAGAAGGTGAAAAGAGAAATATTTTTAGAGAAGAAAATTTTCCTACAACTGTCAGGTTTCAATGACCTTCTGTAGATCTATCTTTCTTTGTTACAGATCAGAAGTGTAGGTCTTTTACTTCTGACTGATGCCAAAAGCATAAAAAGAGAACGCCAAATTGAATGGCCACACACTCACTGGCAATGAGAGGCTTGACGGCGTGTGTGACAGGCAGACCCTTGCCGATGGGCGCGTTGACGTAGTCCAGGAAGTCAGCGTCGGGGTTGCTGCTGTACAGATTGGCCGCCTTGCACGTGTCCATCACGGAGCCCCCGCCCACCGCCACAAACAGATCGAACTGGCCTTCGATGCAGAACTTGATGGCGTCTTCGAAGCTGTGGGGAGGATGAGACAGTGTGTGGGACAGTGTGTGGGGAGGATGAGACAGTGTGTGGGGAGGTTGAGACAGTGTGTGGGGAGGATGAGACAGTGTGTGGGGAGGATGAGACAGTGTGTGGGGAGGATGAGACAGTGTGTGGGGAGGATGAGA